AAGTAGGGGAAAGTTGCTTTTTCTTATATAAATTCCATTGTTGATGTTATTAAAAAGGATTAGGGTGGAGTTGAAGTAGTTGAAAATGTAATTAATCTAATCCCTTTAACAAGAATTGTTTTCATATTGATAATTCTCTATAACAACAAGCATTACAGTTCATACCCATGTGAAATATTTACACTCAATATTTTAGTGTATAATCTCTCCTCTAGCTTTCTATATCAGGAATAAGATTTAGCTTTCTTTTTCTTTTTCTCTCCCCACCTAAAATGTAAAGACCAAAAGAAATCCTTTTACTTTTTTTCTCTTTGCATCCTCTGCTAATTTTCTCACAATGCCTTTGTCTCTAGGTAATTTATGTTAATGGCAATCAAATCATTAATCTCCCCAAAGAGTAGGAATGCTCTGAAAAGAGGAGACTGGTCCAATTGATTTTTTTTTTTTTTTGGTATCTTTTGTCATTTGGTACAGATTCTCATTTCAAATGATTTGTTTACCCATCGATTGCAATAAATTGTTATGCTGCTGAAAATATCACTAAGAGTAGAGTCAGATGAAGGACGAAACTGTCATTCTGGCCAACCTCCTCTGATTATCTCCAGTGTAAATTGGGAATTGTTCTTAATCTGCTCAAATGTCATGTTATCAAAGAGACCTTCTCTGACCTCCTAATATAAAATTACAATCACCATCCCCTCCCACTAACACTCATCCCTCTAATTGGATTTATTTTTCACCATAGCAGTTATCACCATGGGCCATTATAAAGCATTATATGTTTGCTTAATGCATCTCCTCCAACTAGGATGGAGATACCACAAAAATAAGGACTTGGATTTGTTTACTGTTATATCAAGTGCCAAGACAAGTTCCTTAAATATTGTTGTATAATAGGCAATCAATAAAAAATTGTTGAGTGAATGAGACTTTGCTCTCATCTCTCAGGTGCCTAAAGCACCAGATCTGTGTGAAGCTATGAGAGACTTTCCATAAAGACTTGTCAACCTTTACCCAGAGCTGGCTGTCCTGCCCAAGGGGAAGGGTGCCCCTCCCTGTGTAACAAAAGCAGAGACCTAGAGCTTCCTGTGGCCATGTCTTCATTAAAGGACTAATACTGGGTTGTGAGGTACTGTCTGATCTCCACGTGTTTACAATTATAAGAAAATATAGAGAATCTCAAAGGGGGATGCCCTGCAGGGTACTACTTCTGTGGCATATCAATAGGGGTTACTAAGCTATTTAACTTAGGACTCCATGGCAAAATAAGTTTTTGAAACTAGGTGTATTTTGTGCAGCTAAGCAAGGATCTTAATTTCAAGGTATCCCACATGTATGATTATGCTCATCAGGGCTAAGACAAGCTCTTAGACACTTTTTCTCAAACATTTGATCCCAGCCATTTTCTTTCTGACAATGCTGTTTCTAAGAGAGTGTTACAACACAGAGGACTCCATTGAGTTGGGTATTGAGCAGACCAGGCAGGGGTAGGAGAACAAGTTCTGGCTCAGATTCTTACGGTCGGCTATGTGATCTTGGGCAAGTTCCTTAACACTTCGCTATGCCTTGATTTCCTGTTCTGTGAGGTAGGGATGAAAGGGATTTTCCCAAGACAAGTAAACTATCCAACACATCAGGGATGACTAAATGGTGGATATTGTCAATGCCATATACTGAATGTATATATAAATGCATTTGAGATAGATTTCTTCAAGCATTTCTGTGACGTGTTTGTTAGGATTTGTACCCACCCCACTCCCCGTAGAAGAGCTGGCTGTGCCTCCTCGTCCTCTGGTCCCAGCACCTTGTCCTCATGCTCCATGCTCCTAGGCTGAAGGTGAACAAATGCTGTATTTCAACATGACTTGATACAAATGTCTGTTGGCTCCCTTTGGTGTACCCCACAGAGCTGGTTCCCTTTGTTCCCTCACTCCTGACCTCAGATGAAGACACATTCCTCAGGAGGAAGGGGGGTAATGTCCAAGTCAGTGATTGTGCAGATGGCTGCATGCTGACAGATTTTTAAGTGACCATATTTTTTTTTGGTAAATTTCAAAGGAAGGTGAGATTTGTGTGAATCTGACCCCTTCCAGTAAAATGCGCATTTACATATATTTAGAATTTATAAATCCTGACAGATTCCACAATATTTATAGCCCTCCATAAAAAGCCTTTGCCAGTTTGCAGAGCTTTGCATTTGGCTCTCTGGTATGCTTAAGAGAACTTAAATAATAATAAATTTGGTGATTTATTCCACCTGGAACAGAAACTTATCCCCACCCCCTTGGCTCATTTTGAAGGGGACACCTATAAATAGTGCCACAGACGCTGGGATCAGGAATAGGGAATTGAAATTTGAGAGAGAAGTACAGAAACATTTTCATCATCACTGATTTCTTGAGTATATTTTTAAAACAGTTCTGTTCTTCAAATAATGTACCTTCTCCCCTTTCTCCTGCCTCATCTCAATTATACTTGAGTCTCCCAGACCTGTTGCCAACTTTAAGATCCAATTGCATTAATGGGAAAAAGAGACTGAGAGTATTAGCTGACTAGGTAGGAGAGAGTTGCCTCTAGGGAGGCCAAAGCAATTCTCCAATGTTCATCTTGTATTTCATAGGAGTCAGCAGGTAACTGAGCATCGATACCGAAAGTGTATATTCATTATTTGAGATTCATCTCATGCATCCAACAGGTATGAAAAAAGTTCCAAGTTCCTGAAGAAGACAAAAGGACATCTAATTGTAATTGTAAGAGACAGTCTAAGGACAATGTCAAAGGGTAGATTCTTTTACCCATCCATACTCATGATCACCTGGTACAGGGCAAGAGAGAGTCGTTCCTTCTTATCCATATTTCCTCTTTCCATGGTTTCATTTACCCGTGGTCAACTAGGGTCCAAAAATATTAAATGGGAAATTCCAGGAATAAATAACTTATGAGTCTTAAATTATGCACTATTCAGAGTAATGTGATGAAATCTCTTGCCATCCTGCTCCATCCCACCCCGGCCATGAATCATCCCTTTGCCTAGAGAACCCGTGTTATTTCCACTACATGCTCATTTGTCATTTAGCCAAGGTCTGAGTTATCAGATCAACTGCCTGATGTTATAGTGCTGTGTCCAGGTGCCCGGGCATAGTAACCACACACCTTGTTACAATGACTATGTCATTCACACACTTCCTCTCCTCACATTGTGTCATCTCACATCATCACAAAAAGGATGAGTATAATAAAACATTTTGAGAGAGACCACATTTACATAAACTTTGTTACCATGTATTGTTATAATTGTTCTATTTTATTATGAATTACTGTTGTTACTCTTTCACTGTGTCTAATTTATAAATTACTGTTTACTATAGGTAAGTATGTATAGGAAAAAGATATACTTAGAGGATTCAGTACTATCTGTGTTTTCGAGCTTTCACTGAGGGGTTAGGAAAATATCCCCTGGGGATAAGGAGGGACTACTGGACCTGAGTAGTGGCTTCCAAATAATTCTATTTGTTATTTTCTAAAATAACATAAATAAAAATGGGGAGCCAGTCATTCTCCATAGGATCCCCTGATGAAAGCCACAAGCAGCCACTTAGTGTAGCACAAGCAGTGTTATTACAATGCTGAGACACTGATATAATAAGATTTAGTTCCAGTTACTTGTTTGGATTGGAAGGGAAGTAGCCTTTGACAGAAGGAGAATAATGATAATAGTAATTAACATCGATGGAGGGCTGCTATGGGCTGCCGCAGAGTTTGGTTTGCAACACCGTCCTAATTATACAGTCGGCCCTCCATGACCAAGGGTTTTGCATTCCACAGATTCAACCAACCATGGGTTGGAAGTATTGAAAAAACAAAATTCAGAAAGGTCCCCAAACAAATCTAAATTTGCTGTGTGCTGATAACTGTGTTGAATTCAGGCAAAGGAGGTGACATGTGGGTACGTGCTACTGTGGCCTTCACCATTTCCCCGATCCTCAGTCTCTCCAGGGCTCGTTGTTTGAGCATGGTTCACCCCATCTCATTCCTGCACTATGTGCTTAGGCCTCTGATATCTGTTTCTGTACTGAACATGTACAGATTTTTTTCCCATCAATATTCCCTAAGCAATGAGAACAACAACTATTTACATAGCATTTGCATTATGCTAGGTATTATAAGTAATCTAGAGGTGATTTAAAGTATGTGAGGGGATACGTGTAGGTTATATGAAAATACTATGGCATTTTATACAAGGCACTTGAGCATCTGCAGATTTTGGTGTCAATGAGGGTTCTGGAACTGGTCCCTCATGAATACTGAGGGATGATTATAGCAGGTTTTCTTGGAACACCCCCCCAAACCCCAAGTCTTTCCTGAGCAATCCTCTTATTCTAGCTAATCGGATGGCAGATGTTTGGACCAAGCCCCAGAGCCTGCAGTGTACCACATTTTAATGATTTGTGGTGAATAAAGTAAATGTTTTAAAACCAGACTTTATGAAGCAGAGACCCAGTTAAGTATGATGGATGGGAGGCAAAGCTGAGAGAAACTGAACATTGCATGGGGGCATTGCTTCTCAAGCAGGACATGGGTTTATGGTTCATGGGTAGTTCTAAAATCTTGCTTGAAAAATGACTTTTTAAGGAACTATGCTCTTAAGCAATGTCCTTGAGGCAGGGGGAATTTCCCTTGCTCTTCCATAACATCTTTCTAAAAGGGAGCGGAGGTACTGAGCTGTTAGACGGTTGCTCTGTGTCTTAGTGTTTCTGTGATCTAACACATATAGGATAAAAAACTGTTAAAAGTCCATAGAAGGAAACAAGACTAGAAAATTATCATATTTATTATGTTTTGTTTTTTTAAAAAAACTATTATAGAGGATAATCTGTTTAAAACAAATAAAAATGATTATTGAGAACTTTTTTCTTTTCATGCCTCTTAGCAACAGCAACATGGCAAGACCTGAGTTGACCCCGTGTTTTAATGTGGCACCTCTTGTTCTTCCTCCACAGGGCAATCCCTACATGTGCAATAATGAGTGCGATGCAAGCACCCCTGAGCTGGCACACCCTCCTGAGCTGATGTTTGACTTTGAAGGAAGACACCCCTCCACATTTTGGCAGTCTGCTACTTGGAAAGAGTACCCCAAGCCTCTCCAAGTTAACATCACTCTGTCTTGGAGTAAAACCATTGAGCTCACAGACAACATAGTTATTACCTTTGAATCGGGGCGTCCAGATCAAATGATCCTGGAGAAATCTCTCGACTATGGACGAACATGGCAACCCTATCAGTATTATGCCACAGACTGCTTGGATGCTTTTCACATGGACCCCAAATCTGTGAAGGATTTATCACAACACACCGTCTTGGAAATCATTTGCACAGAAGAGTACTCCACGGGGTATACAACGAATAGCAAAATAATCCACTTCGAAATCAAAGACAGGTTTGCATTTTTTGCTGGACCTCGGCTACGGAATATGGCTTCCCTCTACGGACAGCTGGATACCACCAAGAAACTCAGAGATTTCTTCACAGTCACAGACCTGAGGATAAGGCTGCTGAGACCAGCTGTTGGGGAAATATTTGTAGATGAGCTACACCTGGCACGCTACTTTTATGCCATCTCAGACATAAAGGTGCGAGGAAGGTAAGAGAATGTCTGCCTCAATTGGGAATGGGTGTGTCCAAAGGAATCACCAGTGTGTTGAGGCTGCAGTTCCTAAGATGGCATTTGTCAATTTTTGCTGCAACATTTTCTCAGGAATACCAGTGTGCTGGTACATTCTGAAGGTATTTGAGATCCTTTGGACTCAGCAGTAATTTGTAATCTCAGACATGCTGAGAAACCTGGTGGGCCTGGTGGGATTATTATTTATTTATTTATTTTGTAGTTGTAGATGAGCAACATGGCATTATTTTGTTTGTTTATATTTATATGGTTCTAGGGATCCAACCCAGTGCCTTACACATGCTAGGCAAGTGCTCTGCCACTGAGCTACAGACCCAGCCCGGCCTGGTGGGATTCTTAAGAATTCAAATGAAAAAAAAAAAAAAAGAGGGGGTATCTTACTTAAGACAAAGGAACTCCCTTGGTCAGGAGGTTTTTAGTTTTTGTCATTAAGGAAATTAAAACGTAGGGATTAAATTCTATTGTTCTAAAAGGGACTGAAAAACAAGAAATAGATCTTGTAATTTTACATGCAAGGAGATTATAACACACAGTACATCAATCTGTTCATATTTGTTATATTGGACCAAAAAAATCTGGAAATGAAAGCTATATTTCTTTTCATTTATTAAATCAGAACCATAAGCATTAGGAAATAAAGCATCTGTTTAAGTAGGGACAAGTTCTACTTCTTAGGTTTTTGGGTGCTTTTGTATTGAAATGATGTGCCACATTTAAAATATGGACTTGAATTGGTGCCCTTCATTTGGTAGATCAATCACAGATGGACCAGGGTTGCAATACTAATGGTCACTGTTTAGAACAAATAAAAATGCTTGTCTTTGATTTTGACAATATATTAGAAACATAATGAAGTTTCCAAGAATTTTGAAGTTGTTTCAATGACAAATTTGAATAATGAGAACCAGGACTACCAACATAGATATTCCCAACCAGCTTTGCAAGTGTGGCATAGTATCAAAATAGCCAACTAGTGAAAATGGAAGCCTAGGTTCGTGAGTAGGGAAAACTGAAGGTAAGAGTATAATTCATAAAAATGGAAATAAAGGAAAGGCAAGTAAAGCTATAATCACTCCAGAAAATGCCAAGAGAGCTTGAAGTTATAATATATGAGGATAACAATATAAGCGGTACGTCTGTCATGTTGGTTTAATTAAATAATCATAAAATTTAGACAGAATTCATTCAATTTACTGGTTCCCGGCATCCCTTAGGGCAGCCGAGTCCTCGGAAACTGGACAAGTGATGAGATCTGGCTTTCGGAGACTTACCTTGTGTAATGCTAGAATGAAGAAGAAGTCTCTGCTGCTAAAGAAAGGGCCGTAGTGGGTACCCAGACTAGAGTGATGGGCACAACCTCTCAGAGTGGTATCAGGATCTTAGCTGTGGAGAAGTAGCAGGAACTCTGTTCCTCAAGGAAGAAAGAAACTGTAACTATGGAACCTTATTTTAAACTTTTAACTAAGGTCTTGGTGATGGATGATGAAAGTATCTTTAAAGCCAAATATTTTTGAGATATATGCCCTGATACATTTGTATTTAAAGCTTGCAGGTTCCAGGGTATAGAGAGCAGTTCATGTATTAGCAGGGAACCATGACAGTATGATAGGGAGATGTTGCCTTGAACATGAGTTTGCTGTTTATAATAAAATGCAGCCATTATTATGCTTAGGAACATTTTAGCAAAAAAATATATTAATTTATATTATCTTATTCTGGAGGACATATATGAAAATAATTGATGTTGATATTATTAACAATAATATATCTAAATCAAGTAGTAAGTATTCGATTCATCTATAAGATTAAAGGTCAAAATTAATAAACTGAGATTTGGATTTGAATCCTAGCGTGATCTACATTGCTAGGTATATTTATATAGGTCAGTTTCCTTACAGTTTGAGAAATCCTTAATCTGAGTCCAAGTTGCTATAACCCAACTCCTCCAATCACTTGCCCTTCCACTTGTCAAGAAGGCAATCTTAAGAAACCTTGTGGCTGGGAAACACCATTGTTGGAGTTTATTTTTGACACTGGGTATCCATTTATCTTTCATCTGATTGTTTAAAAGAATCAATTGTTTAGAAGAAACAATCAGATCAAAGGAAAATATAAAATACATTTTAAAAGTAAAGACATTTTTATGCCTTCTCCACTGGGGTCAGATAGGCCATCTGAAGGTGGCATGTTAGAAATTTCAGAATCCCTCCAAATTTATCATTTTCTTTTGTCTTCCTACCATCCTTTCACCTGCATTTCTGTGGTTCTGGGGAATTTGCAGGAGCCCTCCTCCCTTCTCTGGGACTCACCTCCCCTGTCTTTTCCTGTTCACCAGTCAACTGTAAGCTAGTGAGAAGCAGCTGGGCAAAACAGAAAGGTCCAGTAGAGGTGAGCCCCTTCCATGAGGTCCACTCTTTCACCTGCACACTCTGTCCAGATTCCTCAGGGCGGAACCAATGCTGGCCTGTACTGCACTAGGCACCAGATGGCTGGAGTATTTTTAGTCTTAGGGGAGGGACCAAAGAAGCAAAGCCTGATGGCTCCGGCGTGTCTCCAGCTTTCAAGTTATATAAGGAAGATCTGCTCATGATAGAGCCACTGAAGGGAAATACTGAGCAATAGCCTGGTTCATAGGCCTTTCAGCAGAGACACTAATTATTTTACCTTTGAAAATTTCAGTAGGATTAATGGCCTAGATGGTCTTTCTCCTATATAACAAATCTCCTATAGAGGTTTGAATATTGATTGATGATTTGAAAAGAAAGTTCTAAATATTATTTTCCAAAACAATCATACATATATATTTCCAAAATTATAACTGAGGTCTTTGTTTCATTTACCCACCCCAACATCCCATGAAATGATGGCAACATTTTACATGCCTCTGCCTACACATCTGTATCTGATAACGATAATGATATTTTTCTACTTGTTACTTTGAAAACCAAAATGTGGAAATTGATATGAGTTGTTTTTAAATAGTGCAATGGAGTCCAGATGGAAACATTCATAGAATAAAAGAATACAAAATGTTTCATCTTGAAATATTAAACTATGAAACAAAAATAATTAGATATCTTTGTTTAAAGTGGCTGTGAATTCCAATTTTCTACATTTTCTGTGCATGCGTTTACTTTATACTGCCTGGTGTCATTTGGTGTGAAAATTATGTTTTGATTGTCATTAGACTAATGTGACATTTATGTTCTTTTCAGTATGTAATACATGTGATACCTATTTTACTAGTTACAAAAAACATAATCTCATCATAAGTAATTTATTCCTCTTTTGCTATACTTATTTTGCTTTCATTTACTCCTTCTCATTGTGTATTTATTAAGATAATGGAGGGAAAGAGGAAACATGGCTATTGGCAATCTCAGCGACTCCGTAGTACTTACATTGTTCAATAAACCTAATAATCTTCATGGGCTAATTCTGACTTATGGATGTCCTGCTTCAGTAAATCAGGGTGATTTTCTCTAGTGAATAATAGAAGAGTGCAGTGTGCCAGTACCTTAATTAAAGAGCAGCTCTCTTAGTCTTGATCTCATTTTAATTTACAGGGTAATACTACAATAATATCACTAATGGAAGGTACATTAAAGGGCATCAAGTAGCATTAACTGTATTAAATTATGGTACTTGTGTTAATTAACTGCTGAAGCAAGATGGTTCTAATGGCCAAAAAGGTCGTCTAGTGCATAAATAAAATCTACTCAGATGAAGGGTGAGAGAAGAAATGAAGAGAGTAGATGTTTGTTCTGAACATCTTTTCATACAGACACGGGGTTAAATTTAAAAGCTGTAAGTACAGATAACGTACAAATGTTTCTTAGTTACATAATTGGATGCTGTGATTTTTTTAGTTATTTTGTTTCCCTCTAAGGATTCCATAAATTAATTAAAAAGTTGAACATTTTATTTGTCAGATGCATAGATTTTATTAGAATGTATACTCAACATTCTTTATGGTTTCTTTGAGGTGAGCAGTTCAAGGAAGTAATGCTATTTATTTTAATAGTTCTTACATCTGAAAGATAAATGAATGTTTGGCAATATGCTTATTTATTTTTATGACATATTATCAGCAATGTACCGACTTATTGGTTTCAGTCATAAGAAAATAGAAATTCTGTTTTAACAAAACTTTATGAGAATTGAAAGAAATTTCCCCAATGGCCTAGAAAACTCAAATCAACATCTCTTTTACTTGCTATCTTTATATTCATAATGATACTTATCAGTTACTTTTTCCATTTCTTCTCTACTTCAGTACCTACTCAGACTCCTGTACAGTTTTCCAAATAGTAAATACAGACCACCAAACTTTATCCACTGTTTAGTGTTTAGTATCTGCTGTTTCAGTTACTCATGTCCAAAAATACTAACTGGAAAATTCCAGAAATAACAATTCATAAGTCTTAAATAAATTTTATTACAGAATATTATTACAATGATTTTATTTTACTATTATTTATTGCTGTCAATCACTCACTGTGCCTAATATATAAATTCAACTTTATTATAGGTATGGATATATGGGAAAAACTGGGGGAAAAACATAGTATATATGGGGTTTGTACTCTCTACTACTCCAGGTATCCACTGGGGTTCTTGGAACATGGTCCCTTCAGATAAGGGGATTCTGCTGCAGAATCTTTTTGCCTTTTTACCTCCATTGCTTACCTCAGGAGAGGAGCCTGGGAGCATTATCGCACAGCCTCCCTTCAGGAAATGTCTTTGATGCCATTTTCAATTCACCTCTGCCTGGCTCAGAACCACACTCTCCTTTGCCTAATCACAGGGTCATGAAAGAGCCAGGGACAAAGCTGCCCTGCCTGGGTACTGGAGAGAGAAAGCTCCCCTCCCCACTAGAAAAGCAGCACTTTCATTTATAAACCTTTACCGTTTGAACGTCTTGGTGTTTGCCATAATTAGGAAAAGGTGGAGTTCAC